GACAGCTGACTAACTCCCAGGTACCTATTTACTGCTAGGTAACAGGGGCATTCAGGGTGAAAGAAACTTTGCCCATTTGTTTCTGCCTCGTGCGGGAATCGAACCCGCGCCACAGAATTACGAATCCTGCGCGCTATCCACCAGGCTACGAGGCCCCCCTTGCAGTTAAACTACAAAAGAACTCATGTATTTAAATTCCAGTGTATTACAGCAATATGAGAAGAGAAAGAGGAAATATTTCCTGAATTCAGGAGAACTTTAGCATAATTGTTGACTTAAGTTGTAATTTACCGCAACAATTCGCGTTGAGTTGCCTTTTATGTTATTACAATATTGTTGAGAGATAAGTGCCATATATTCTTGTATGAAGTTTAAAATGTAATCAATTAATATTAAATTAATTATTTAATTAAACTAAATTTAAATTAATAAAACACCAGTTTTATTACAGAGTGTCTAATTACAATATGAAGAACATCGCTCGTTGTTTAGCGAACAAAAAAATCAAACATATTTCTAAGGAATCTAATTTTGTTGATTTACAAGATCGTATCAAAAATATCAATATTTGGGAGACTTCATTTTAATCGATTTTATAAATAGTTTGGGAGAAAGTTTTAAAGATTTTAAGGTCTGACTATACAAACTTTGCTAGTTTACAACTGAGTTGTATTATAATGTTATTAATTATTATATTAGTATTTCACATGAATTTTAACTTGCTCTAGAGGTCATAGGCTTTCATCCCCCTGCCTTAAGCTCTCTTAAAGTTAGGCTTATATCGAAATAAATTTAATATTCAATATAGATATAATAAACACATTTTTTATAAAATAAAATACAATAAATATATTAAATTTAACAATGGATGATTATATATTGCCATTGTGAATAATAATTGATCTGACGTGCTGCATATAACGCCGTTGTTCACTCTTCAAGTTCTAATCCAACAGTTGTGACTGAACTGGTCTTATAGAACAACTCTTAACGAACAGACTTTAACAAACAGCTCTTAACGAACTGTGTCCATAATGAATAGACCTGAACAAATAGCTCTTATCGAACAAATCCACAAGGGCCGTGTCGAGGGTTCGAACCTATGTCCGAGAGGATCCCAGACGCGCCTTTATCGACTAAGCTACGACATGGTTAAAAGAATTGCAACCGGGAAATCAACTTGACCTACCACGGATCCTGCAGCCTATCCGAGACCAACCCGTTCTCGCAAATTTAATAAGTCAATATTGACTTATTAAATATGTGCATAGGTGACATACTTAACATAATAGATACCCTTAAAAAGATTCATAGAAAACACCGACCTTACCTAACCTTGTTAGTATCTTAAGATAAGCATCTTATTGCTTCGTAATTACAATTATTACTTAACCTATACCTATGATAGGTTAGGTAATAATTGTAATTACGAAGCAATAAGATGCTTATCTTAACATACTAAGTAGGTTAGGTAAGGTCGGTGTTTTCTATGAATCTTTTTAAGGGTATCTATTATGTTAAGTATGTCACCTATGCACATATTTAATAAGTCAATATTGACTTATTAAATTTGCGAGAACGGGTTGCTAAACACGAGAGAAGTCAATAATACCTTTGTATGAGAGGTCACCCCCCCCCCCCCCCTGCACTAGGCTTTCCACCACGACTACCCAGGATATGCATTCCACAACAGTTGCCTAACTCTCTGATACTTGTTTATCACTAGGTAAACAGCGGCATCAGGGGTAAGGAAATGCACTTAAGCGTCCCGTCCACCGTAGGAACCAAACCCGGGATCATTCGTTGTGCGTGTCGACCACTGCGCTGAGGAGGAATTGCTGCCAAATTGATATTAATTTGGTTTTCTATTCGTAAATAATTGAACATTTATAATATACTTTGTTTAAAAAATACAAGTACCATTCCGTTTATACAAGAAGTTAGTAACAGTGTTGATACTGATCATTGCAGTCACTAAATAGTAATACCCACTGTGACACTGCTGATAAATGTTAAATAACAACGCAATAGATTTGCAGCGTCTTCTAACGACCTGAAGAACAGATGAAAGTGGTTTGCGGAACCCAATGACTGAAGGGAAGGGAACTATCAGGGGAACCCATTGACTGAAGGGAAGGGAACTATCAGGGGAACCCATTGACTGAAGGGAAGGGAACTATCAGGGGAACCCAATGACTGAAGGGAAGGGAACTATCAGGGGAACCCATTGACTGAAGGGAAGGGAACTATCAGGGGAACCCATTGACTGAAGGGAAGGGAAGAGAACTGTCAGGGGAACCCATTGACCGAGTAGAAGATTGACTGTGTGGTTTAGACTAAGTGTTTCATCCTTTAGAGATAGGTTCCGTGAACCCACCGGCCTAGCTTACTGTTACGTGTAAGGCAAACGGCTTTCACGATCTCTCACCTATTCCAGCTTTGTGGAGGAACCACAACACAAGGCGCTCAGCCATTAGCAACCTCATGTTGGCAATTCCTTTCTCAAGACTATCACTCCATCAGCGATTATTCACTCCTAGACTGACTCCCATCTGGAATATGTTCCCACAACATGAAACTATTATGTTTCAACTCCAGTCAACTGAGCATATGAAGGCTGTGGCACACAGTTGGCTCCAGCGTCATCCTGTACCGTACACGGTTGAACTTAACATTAAAATAAACTTAATACCCAATGAAAATTATTAATAATTATTAATAGCTTATTTTCTAGGCCACGTTTCAGCTGAGTTGACCTACAATAACATCTCTTTGTTTCCAGTTTAAGTCACGAATATCATTGCTAGATATTCCTTATGAACCCCAGTCTAAGAGTGACAGAAAGAGGGAGGGAGGGAGGGAGAGAAGAGGAAGGGAGAGAGAAGGGAGGGGGACGGGGCGAGCCAGGGAGAGGAGCGTCCGGAAGGGTGACAGGTTGACGGGACCACAAAGCACGGGGCCCTGGTGAGTGACGTGTAAGGGGGGACTCATGCATCACTGACCACGGCGTTATGTGCTCTGCGGCCGCCGCTCAAACACGCTCATTACCGTCTTATTCGTAGTCATTCGCGCGAGGAGCCCACTATTTCCGCGAGTCTGCTGCGTGCTCAGTACCTCAGCGAGTCTGCTGCGTACCCAGTACCTCAGCGAGTCTGCTGCATGCTCAGTACCTCAGCGAGTCTGCTGCATGCTCAGTACCTCAGCGAGTCTGCTGCGTGCCCAGTACCTCAGCAAGCCTGCTGCGTACCCAGTACCTCAGCGAGTCTGCTGCGTGCCCAGTACCTCAGCGAGTCTGCTGCGTGCCCAGTACCTCAGCGAGTCTGCTGCGTGCCCAGTACCTCAGCGAGTCTACGATAGGAACATCATTACAACTAGGAACAACTGTTTTACAGAAGGTCAAAGCAACACCTATGCACTGACAACTACACAAATACCGTCTATCATTACCGCTGCAGGAAGTAGAATCGGGGATCCGGGTTCGATTCCTGGGCGGGACAGAAATGGTTGGACACGTTTCATTTCACCTAATGCTTCTGTTTACCTAGCAGTAAATAGGTATCCTGGAATTAGGCAACTGCTGTGGGGTTGTATCCTAGGAAGTCAGTAATTCGACCTTGGGAGGAACTCGATACATGCCTAAGGAAAACACATACACAGGCTTCCTGTCCCCGACAAAACGAATTATACGAGCATTAAAAATGGGACGCTGTAGATGACTAAGCAAACAGGCAATTTAATAAAGAGTATATGGTGGTAACTCACTTTATTCCACCAACCAAGAATATATTAATGTTACTTAAAGCGTCCTTAAAAAGCCTATATATATATATATATATATATATATATATATATATATATATATATATATATATATATATATATATATATATATATATATATATATATATATATATATATATAGTATATTTTGGTAGCAGTCTTTCCTGTAGACATATATTATTAAATATGACCGAAAAATATTTATATTTTTAAATATTATGACCGAAAATGACCGAAAAATATTTTTCGGTCATATTTAATAATATATATATATATATATATATATATATATATATATATATATATATATATATATATATATATATATATATATATATATATAGAACGTTGTTACAGGTTCTTCCATATAGGCTCTGAGACTCTGGGCGCCTGGGGTAAATGTGCACTTAAGTTCCCAAAGAAGCTGGGTGAGGAACTCATTAGGCAAACTAGAGACTCAAGAGTGGCCAGTTTCCTGTTCCAGCGCCTCAGTGTCACAATCCAGAGAGGAAGTGCTTGATGTATCTTGGGCACTAGGAGAACAATGGGGAATGGGTGCCAATGGAACATTGGGTAAGGAGGTGGGAGAGGAGAACTCTGTAGAGATGTCGTTGTTATCGGGAGGTGTTTAGTGAGGTCTGAGTCTGAGCGTAGGCAAGGTGTTGAAGTCGTTACTCTGTATACTTAGGGTGGGTCTTTTAAAAGACCCACACAACTTCGCCTGTTTTACGTGTGTATTTAACACAAATTTGCCCCCTTGTATATTCATTCCTAGAGAGTTGCGAATGGAAATTTTTAGCGAGAATCAACTAACAAACACAAGGAAACGTCTGAACGTTTTAAGAAACATTTAATGATGCATATTCAACACAAGGAACACACACAGGTCATCAGGTTGGGCTTACGCCTTGAAGACTTCACTAGTTATTGCTAGTATTTTATCAAATAATATTTTATTGTTTAATGTCTTGTAAGTCCATAATATTTTACCCTGTTACTTATGTTTCCTCTTCATTCCATGTTGTTATCTTGTTTCTTTCTCTCTATTTCTTCTCTCTCACTGCCCCTCATTCTTTCTTTTATATTTCCTCAGATCGCGTCCTGACTTTCTAACTGTAACGCGGTGTTCTACCCTCTCTCTCTCTCATGCAGGTCGGTGTTCAATCCCCGACCGTCCAAGTGGTTGGGCACCATTCCTTCCCCCCTTCCCATCCCAAATCCTTATCCTGATAGATCTCTCTCTCCCGCAGGAAGCAAAGAGACAGCGTTCATCTACGCTGTGACGTCGGCAGGGGTAGTACACGCCGTCACCCACGCCTGCTCCTCCGGCAACCTCACCGACTGCTCCTGCGACATGAGCAAGCAGGGACTGTCTACTCCTGAGGGCTGGAAGTGGGGGGGCTGCAGGTTAGTGTATCAGGGAGGGGATCAAGGTGTTTGTGTGTGTGGTGGAGGGGGAATGTGTGTGTGTTTGTGTATATGGTGGAGGGGGAGTGTGTGTATGTTTGTGTGTGTGTGTGTGGTAGTGGAAGGAAGGGGTCTGGTGCGTACCCAGTACTTCCGCAAGTCTGTTGGGTGCCCAGTACCGCCGCGAGTCTGTTGGGTACCCAGTACTTCCACGAGTCTGTTGGGTACCCAGTACCTCCGCGAGTGTGTTGGGTACCCAGTACTTCCACGAGTCTGTTGGGTACCCCGCATTACTGAGAGTCACTACAACCAGGGACAGCACCTGTTTTACGAAGAGTCAAATCAAAAACTATATACAAAGGAAACGGGAAGAGTATGACTTCCCGTTCGTCACGAGTCATACGCCCTCTGTATATAGGTAGAAGTGTCCAAGATTTGTTTTAGAGAGAGGCAAGGAGCCTAATTTTGAGATTATGTCAGTTTTAATTTTCGGTGAGGAAGGAAGCAAAGCCTAGGGTTTTGACTTTGCTTTGCAGATGGCGGATCGCCGCCAGCCCCAAGTTGAGAGTTTCCCGCCGAGAATCAAAGACTGGCAGCGACACGGAAATTTTCGGATGGAAGAGGTGATTGGTCATACGCTGGCAGGAGTGACCAATGAGGAAGCGAACTTAGGTCACGTGACGTAGCGGGAGCACCTGAGTGACGCTTGTCACCGCGGGCGGGAGCCATTGCACCCTCTAACGTCGCGAGAGGCAGATGCAACGCGGCCAGCTCGGTAGATGTCTGGGATTTCGCAATGTTATCAGAGCTAAGCCGTAGCAGACTCTCGGATAACCTCAAGAGTGACCGTGCAGTTTTCTGGGGAAGTTTTAAGGATGAAGCTCTGCAGATTGCAACTCACTATCTTTGTTATGTGGCATCACTTGTTCTTGTATTGGAGGCCGGGCCGAGGAGCTGTAGTCCTCGCAGCCTTTTGTCCTCTGCGCGACTACAAGAAGACAGTGTGTAATCCTGGTCTACAGTTATCAACATCAAGATGATCTGGTGGGCAGCGAAAATTTCCAAGCAGGAGTCCTGTCACCTGGGATAGCCCAGTGAGCAGTGAAGGCAGCGTCCGACTGCAAGGGTCCTGAGACCGCTATCGTACCCAGAAGAGTGCCCGCAGCTGCACGCAATCTCTTAGTGTGAAGAGTAAGTGCCCATTGAGGAGTGAGGAGTGCCGTAGAGCGCCGGGCACAGGCACCTGGGATACCCAACGTGAGGCCTTGACTCCAGGCAGGAGGTATGCTGGGACGGTGGCTGTATGCAGAAAGTGAACCCAGTGACTGTGAGGTGTTGTTCCCGAAGTACAAAATACTAATTAAACTCCCAGTGAGTAAAGTGAGGAGTGTGACCCTAAGAAATTAGCAGGGTCTGTGGACAACAGTTATCGTTAGCCGTACTACAAGATATTTACCATCGCGACTCAGGATAGGTGTGGGAGCTACAGGAGCAGCCAGTCACATTTGTCGTGATCAGTATCTTCCAACACCTGGTCGGAAGGGACAGCACAGCAGACTCGACCTCCGCCAGCAGGAGGCTAGAGACGAGGTGAAGACCACCCCTCTCAGCTAGGGATCTCCTGGGAAAAAATCGGCGAGACCCGAGGGCAGGTGTACAGATAGATAATTAACGCCTCCAGTCACCCTTTTTGTTAGGCTTTTCCCAGGAACCGATTTATAACTGTTGGCTATAAATTAAATGTATTATTATAACTCTGGAGTATGTTTATATATGTGTGCATTTATACTTTGAAGACTCTACTACCGACTAGAGAATAAAAGGCAACTATTTAATAGATAGGGAGTTAATGTAACTTTAGTTAAAGTTAGAACTGCGGGCCAGAGGAGCCTAATGTGTGCAACCTATTACTTTAACTTTTCAGTTCTCACAAGAGTTGAGCAATCTGTTTATGCTCATGAAAGTTGAGTATCTGTTTAGAATTTACAGAGTAGCTGTCTGGCAAGTTATTCTGAAGCACACGACGAGAAAAAATAAGTTTTCATTAATTATGTTCAAATAAATTACCAGTAAATTCCTCTTCAGGCTATAGCGCCAGGCGGTGTTGCCAGGCGGCGCGATAATTCACGTGTGTTGCTGGGGTCTACTTTTACTTACGTCAGTTTTTTTTATGTCGGTTATTAAATGTTGATAAATTCTTTGATTTTGGTGATTCGTGTTATACATTCTCCTCTTCCCAGCCATTGGTCTGAGGCACTGCGCTCAATATACACTGCTGAAATTTAACCACTGTATGAGAGAAGTGATTTATTTCACAGTGTGGGGGAGAGGTACAACTGCGAGGATATTAGGAGTATATAGTCGACCCACCGCACATATTTCGCAGCTGAAGGAGAGCCTCCCTAATTGGCGACCTTGTTTGTGATGTAAACCTTTGAGACGGTCTAAGCACCGGAGTTCAGGCACACCCAATATCAGTGTCTGCAGATCAGGCCGTTCTCAGGGCAGCTGTGGGTGAATGAGTCAGTGGCGATAATGATAATTTTATTTAGGGAAAAGTACATAAATACAAAATGAGTTAGAGGCAAACTGTTGGATTTCCAGATAGAGCAAGTATATACTATGCCCAAAGCCACTTAACTAGTACGGGCAGCGTTTCGGGTAAAGGTGCTATGGAAAAGATTTTGGGCCTTATCCCACTCTCACACAGAGCGGGGTGAGACTTGCTGACAGTTACCCCTCTGTGCTGGTGAGTGACTGGGATCCACTCTGGTGCAACCCTTCCTCCGAATAGACAGTACGTTTAATACTAAACATAATAAGTACTTTCCTGACTGTATAGTACATAATTATACTTATTGTGCTGTTACATTTACCTCCCCATATATTTTCACAACGCATCATCCGATTAAACAGTACGTTTTAATACTAAATATAATAAGTACATTCCTTACTGTCTGCATAGTACATAAATATATTTAATTGTGCCGATACATTTACCTCTCCATATATTCTCCTCATTTTCTGCTAAAGACACTAAAAAATTTTAAGATGAAATTTTCATGTTCGATGTAATACGTCCAAGTTTTAAATATAAAGAATTTCTTTTTTACTTTTAATAAACAATAGAAATTTTATACAAAATGTGAAAACATCCTGAATTACTTTATAATTTATTAAAGATTTTAGTTTTGTTTTATTTGTTTAATAAAACTGTAATATCAATATAGCTATAGGTTAAGTACTAATTGTAATTTAGAAGCAACAAAAGTGCTTGTCCTCTTACACTATAAAGGATAGATTAGGTCGTGGTTTTCTATACACCTTTTCAGGTAAACTCTAATATTCACAATATTTTGGTGTGATGCTGGCAATTAAGTGTATTTATGTACTATGCCGATAGTCTGGATTGTACTTATTACATTTAGTATTAAAACGTACTGTCTATTCGGAGGATGGCAGCTTTGGTGACAGTCGCACCTATAGAAGAAGGGAACGCGCGTCACAATGGTGTTTGTGTGCATGTATACTCACCTAGTTGTGCTTGCGGGGGTTGAGTTCTGGCTACTTCGGTCCGCTTCTCAACTGTCAATCAATCAGCTGATTTTTTTCACACACACACACACACAAAGCAGCCTGTAACAGCTATCTAACTCCCAGGTACCTATTTACTGCTAGGTAACAGGGACATCAAGGTGAAAGAAACTCTTCCCATTTGTTTCCACCATCGCCAGGGATCGAACCCAGACCCTTAAGATTAAGAATCCAGAGCGCAGTCCACTCAGCTATCGTCTGTGTGTGTGACGATAGCAATTTTTGTATGTGTGTGTGTGTGTTCATTTTTACTTTGTAAAATTTTTTGTTGAGTTTCTAAAGTATGAATAATCATAGATTTTATTGATACACATTTTGTAAATTTTTCACTTTAGTTATAGATTTGGTTCATCAACATTTGTTCACGCCGATCATCATTTTTTTGCAATATAATAATAAATTTAATTTAAATGAATAATAGCGTCTTGATATTCACGTTTCTTTGTGGGAGTTTAAATAAATTATTAAATCTAATATACGTAACTCAAACTAGCTCAACACAACCCTGTCTTACCTAACCAGAGCTAATTTAAACTTACCGAACCGAATAATTAAAGTTCACTTAAACCGGATGGAAAGAAAAGTTGGCAGTGAACGAAGCATTAAGATGACCAACAGGTTCTCGTATAATGAGATTCTAATGCAAATAACAAAATGTGTAAATAGACGCATTGGAAAATATGATTAATATTATTATATCGTCTTATGAAATTGGAATTTTTGTAATTTCCCCTAAAACAGTTACCCCTAACAACGTGCTTTATAGAAAACGTTTGGGTTTGCTTGTTAGCGCAAACTGTGCTAGATATCGAGCGCGGGGATTCCTTGCCACGGGTTGACGCCATTGAGTTTACGAGATCACCCTAGTCAAAGGTGAAGCTCCACAATTTGGCACACCGATCGTTCATTTTAACCAGCTTGTAACACCTTCCGTCTCCTCCACCCCGGCTGTAACATCTCCCGTCTCCTCCACCCCGGCTGTAACACCTCCCGTCTCCTCCACCCCGGCTGTAACACCTCCCGTCTCCTCCACCCCGGCTGTAACACCTCCCGTCTCCTCCACCCCGGCTGTAACACCTCCCGTCTCCTCCACCCCGGCTGTAACACCTCCCGTCTCCTCCACCCCGGCTGTAACACCTCCCGTCTCCTCCACCCCGGCTGTAACACCTCCCGTCTCCTCCACCCCGGCTGTAACACCTCCCGTCTCCTCCACCCCGGCTGTAACACCTCCCGTCTCCTCCACCCCGGCTGTAACACCTCCCGTCTCCTCCACCCCGGCTGTAACACCTCCCGTCTCCTCCACCCCGGCTGTAACACCTCCCGTCTCCTCCACCCCGGCTGTAACACCTCCCGTCTCCTCCACCCCGGCTGTAACACCTCCCGTCTCCTCCACCCCGGCTGTAACTCCTCCCGTCTCCTCCACCCCGGCTGTAACACCTCCCGTCTCCTCCACCCCGGCTGTAACACCTCCCGTCTCCTCCACCCCGGCTGTAACACCTCCCGTCTCCTCCACCCCGGCTGTAACACCTCCCGTCTCCTCCACCCCGGCTGTAACACCTCCCGTCTCCTCCACCCCGGCTGTAACACCTCCCGTCTCCTCCACCCCGGCTGTAACACCTCCCGTCTCCTCCACAGTGACAACCTGAGGTTCGGGGTGCAGTTTGCCCGGCAGTTCGTCGACGCCCCGGAGAAGGAGCGCCATAAGAAGTTCAAGAGGAGACGGAACTTGATGAACCTGCACAACAATGAGGCTGGCAGAGAGGTGGGTGTGTATGTACTCACCTAGTTGTACTAGTTGTGCTTGCGGGGGTTGAGCTCTGGCTCTTTGGTCCCGCCTCTCAACTGTCAATCAACTGGTATACAGGTTCCTGAGCCTATTGGGCTCTATCACATCTACATTAGAAACTGTGTATGGAGTCAGCCTCCACCACATTACTGCCTAATGTATTGTATCTGTGAACTACTCTGACACTGAAAAAGTTCTTTCTAACGTCCCTGTGACTCATTTGAGTACTCAGTTCCCATCTCTGTCCCCCTTGTTCGTGGTCCACCCATGCTAAATAGTTTGTCTTTGTCCACCCTGCCAATTCCCCTGAAAATTTTGTAGGTGGTGATCATGTCTCCCGTCACTCTTCTGTCTTCCAAGGAACGAAGATGGGCTATGTCTTGGGCAGGCAAATGATGTGACTGTTGTGTTGCAGGCTGTGGCGAGACTGATGAAGATGCAGTGCAGGTGCCACGGAGTGTCTGGATCCTGTGAACTCAAGACCTGCTGGCGATCCATCCCGACCTTTCCCGTCGTGGGCGACTACCTCAAGAACAAGTACAAGACCGCCCTCAGGGTAAGGCCCTTGCCTCCGTGCTCTGTGTAGAGGCTCACCAGTGAGTCGCAGTAACGTCCCTCGAGATTATCATCACACATCACAAGACGAAGCAATGACGACGTTTCGAGTCGTCCTAGACCGTTATCAAGTCGTGGAATAACTTACACGGACCGAAACGTTGTCGTTTCTTAATTTTTTAATGTGTGTGTCGGTCATCAGCTTGTATTAGTCGTCTTAACTGTGAAATGAGACGAGAGTTAGTCCTTATCCTTGTCACAGTGCATTAATTGCCTTAATAGTAACATACAGCGCCACAGTAAAGAGTCTGTCCAATTCTTTCTCTTCTGAAATAGGGTTCAGTCAGATGTTTACTCTGAAATTGTGGTAAATAGAATTTCTGAATTGCTCTTGTAACGTGAGTATATTGTTACTGTACTGTAGTAATATACTGTACCCTAAATTGCTATAGGCACAGATGTGTACTATCCCAGTACAGATGTGTACTATCCCAGTACAGATGTGTACCATCCCAGCACAGTTGTGTACCAACCCAGCACAGATGTGCACCATCCCAGCACAGGCAGATGTGTACAAACATACCTTATCATCACTACCGTGCACTGATCAATTGTATTTATTTAGTTACTTTTAATGCGCGATTAATTAATATTAAATAATTGCAGCGATGAAGGACTGCTCAGCCGTGCACCTCACCCCTTGCACCACGACATGCTCAGAGTTTTACAACCTGGCCTGACATGACATGACATGACAGGGAGTCCCAGGTTTTATAACTTATTAACAGGTGGTGGTGCAGGGGTAAGGCTGGGCGTTCCTTGGTCGCTGGTTCGAGGCACCTCATTGCTCCAGTTGATTTTTTTCTCACTGATATTCTATATATATGTCACGTTTGTCAGAGATTTGTGTTATTATTATAATTATTATAAATATTATTACCATCATCACTATCATCATCACTATCATCATCACACCATCACTACCACAATCACTACCACCATCCCCACAATCACTACCACCATCCCCCACAATCACTACCACCATCCCCCACAATCACTACCACCATCCCCACAATCACTACCACCATCCCCACAATCACTACCACCATCCCCCACAATCACTACCACCATCCCCACAATCACTACCACCATCCCCCACAATCACTACCACCATCCCCCACAATCACTACCACCATCCCCCACAATCACTACCACCATCCCCCACAATCACTACCACCATCCCCCACAATCACTACCACCATCCCCCACAATCACTACCACCATCCCCACAATCACTACCACCATCCCCACAATCACTACCACCATCCCCACAATCACTACCACCATCCCCACAATCACTACCACCATCCCCACAATCACTACCACCATCCCCACAATCACTACCACCATCACCACAATCACCACCATCTGCAGTATGTGCATCATCACATAGAGCGTGTTTCAGTACAAGAGGAAGAAGCGGAGCAGCAGCAGTGGCCGCCGCGACTCCCGCAGGCGGCGGCGGCGACGCGGGCGACGCAAGCGGCGCTTCCTGGCCAGCAAGGAGGAGCTGGTCCACATCCACAAGTCGCCCAACTACTGCGTCCAGAACCTCAAGAAGGGCATCTTGGGCACCCACGGCCGCTTCTGTAACAAGACCTCCAACGGCGCCGACTCCTGCGACCTCCTCTGTTGTGGCAGAGGCTACAATACCCAGGTATGCTTACAGTACCCAGGTATGCTTACAGTACCCAGGTATGCTTACAGTACCCAGGTATGCTTACAGTACCCAGGTATGCTTACAGTACCCAGGTATGCTTACAGTACCCAGGTGGGCTACAATACCCAGGTATGCTTACAGTACCCAGGTGGGCTACAATACCCGGGTATGCTTACAGTACCCAGGTATGCTTACAGTACCCAGGTATGCTTACAGTACCCAGGTGGACTACATTAGCCAGTTGTATCCTTATAATGCCCATTTGTACCCACTGTATCCACTGTATCCAATTGTATCCACTGTATCCTTATAGTGTGGGGTTACGTGGATAAGTTAAATATTTATTTCAATTTAATTGCAAGTAGTTTGTCTATTGGTTATTGTCATACAATTTTAGAAGCGTATAACATAGGTTAATATAAACTTTCACACAATTCCACAGTGGGAGTTTATTATAATATTAGTTAATAATAATCCGGTCTTATCGCTTATCGGTTAATTTGTTGAAGTTAAATGTGAACTTTTTGCTGCATTGTAGTATCAATGCTGAATGCCAATGAAAGTGGCTCTGCCGACGTTGAATGATAAGAAAGGACAGTATGGCATGCGGTACTGGGCATGCGGTACTGGGCATGCGGTACTGATCAAAAACTAAGGCAAAAAAAAAGGAAAAAAATACCCTGGAATTGGCACTGAAGAAACATGACGAAAAGATGTTGGTCTCCACACTATACCTAGTTGCTTGGACTCAACATTCTCCAGTTAAAGGCACTCATTCTAATTCCGTCCATGATGGGGCGAGGCAGTGTTGGGCCGTCATGAGCTTGTTTAAGGCCACTGTAGACGAATGTTAGTGAGATACACAACAAAGAAGTTCAAGTAGATCCTCGAGGACGCCGATGGCAGTGTGCCAAGTAGTGTTGAGCTCCTTGTTGCGTCAACTCAACATTCTACAGTGCAACACACTCATTGTACTCCCATCTGAGATGGGGCTGACGACCCTTAGATCAACATCAGAACAGCATGAGCTGTCGCCTTACACACACACACTCTCAACAGCTTGCTACATGTTACTGCACATATTTATACTTTATTTTGTAATAATAAAGAAAGGCCCATGGGTGTTTTGTATACCATTCCTTCCCACTGACAAGAAAGCTGCAAGAAAGATTAACAAGGAGACAAAGAAGCAAAGAGTGCCAGGATATTTTATACAGTTACTGCGACAAGAGATGCTGGTGGGACACCAATAAATCAGCTACCTGCTCACCATACAAGTGTATTCGTCAGAAACTATACATGTAGATCGGAGAAGTTGAGCCAGGAAAGTACATTAATGGTCCAATCTGCTCAAAGAGGCGGAAACCAGGGCTGAGCCGGCCACCAAGGGGCCAGAAGGATTACCGTGCCTGAGTATGCCTTCAGCCAGGACAGCAACCAGAGCATCAACTGAATCGGGGAAAAAGAGGTAAATAATCCCTACATCGACCAGTCTAGCCGAAAGACGTCCACCCCGGGAGCCATGTGATCGGGAAATAAAGCCACCAGTTCTAGACTGTCGTGAAACAGTCCACCTCAGGGGAAGCATTTTTGCAAAGCCAATGAAAGAACGAATCATTGATGGTCAACTCAATGGAAATGGGCTTTGAGTAAGATAAGCCATTTGCAAGATTATTGGAGTCACCCCACATGTGAACTGTGTGAAGAACCAAACCCCCCTAGAAGTCAGCAGCCGAACTACCTGAAGAATGCACCTCCAGAGAAGGAAGGACTGATGTGAACTCCCACAATTCAGTGAATGAATCACCAGAGAGCAGTCGGAATGAAGCCAGATGATGGAGCCTGAAGAAAGACGAACCCTCCACAGGGCTTGCCACACCATGGCAACCTCGCGTTTTGTGCCATATACCTGATGGATGAGGCCTGACCACTAACCTTGGCAGGCCTGGTGCATACTGGTCTCAAAGCCCCAACCCTGAGCCGACACATTCTTGAACATGTCGAGCAACGGGGGAGGATGGCATCATGGAACAAAACCCCGAATAAACAGAAAAGGAAGCTGGAAAAGCAGGAGCCGATAAAATGCGGGTGGGTACGGAACCCGACGGTCCCGGCAGTGGCGAGAGGTGCAAAACTGGAGGAACTGATACAATACCTGGAGCCTGATCCTACTCAGAGGAAATACTATGCAGGCAAAGTCAGGGCTTCCTCACAAACACTCATCCAACCGACAAGTCACCCAGGGCCAATCCAGCGCCTGCTGGTGACTGCTGCAGGCAGTGCAGAGTAGCAAAAGGCAGGGATAGAGATGCTGACTGAGAATCCCAAATTGGGCCCAAGTAAGTCTAAACCTGGAACAGAACCAATTGGGACTTCGGCCAGTTTACCAGAAACCCTAACCTGGCAAGCTGGGAAAGATCCGAATCCCTGGCTAGCTGACTCGTGGACTGACTAGTAGTCCAAACCAGCTTGTCATAGAGACAGCCAGGTCGCCACTACTCACACTAACCTGGTAAAGATCGGAGCAGCCAGATTCAAGCTGAAGGGCAGAGCCTTGAAGCTGTAGGAGAATGTACCGTAGGTCCACCGAGTCTCGCTTAGGAACAGGCACAACCAGGGCACTCACCAAAGGAAGGTCAACTCAACAATGCTCGAGTCACACCACATCATCGCAACTATTATTATTGAGGATTGTGGGACCAGGAATTGGGGAAAATGGTCAGTCTTCCCCACACATTTACATTTTGTGTAGGTTAGGTTACTTGTTTCAGCCCCGCTATTGTGACTTGTTTTCTGTGTTTACAGTGAATATCACTCTTTTTTTTTTCCCCCCAGGTGGTGAAATACTTAGGAATTATTTATATATATATATAATGCGTTATGTGTGGTTTCCTCCGAGGCTAAGGGTCCCCTTTTTCCAGCCAGAGGTGGTACTCCCTTCCCTATTGTATATATATACATATATACATATATACATATATACATATATATATATATATAAAATGAACAAATCCACAAGGGCCGTGACGAGGATTCGAACCTGCGTCCGGGAGCATCCCAGACACTGCCTTAATCGACTGAGCTACGACAGGGTAAAAAGGGTTGAAACCGAAGTTCTACTGAACTTACTGCATCCCGTAGCCTCTCCGAGGCCCTTGTGGATATTTTCATTTGATGCATCACGCTATTGTGATCTCTGTGTGTGATATATATATATATATATACATATATATATATATATATATATATATATATATATATATATATATATATATATATATATATATATATATATATATATATATTGTTTTCCCTTCCCTAGGTGGTGAGATACGTCGAGCGATGCCACTGCAAGTTCGTGTGGTGTTGCCACGTCAAGTGTAAGACTTGCGTCACAAACGTCGATGTTCACACCTGCAAATAGCGAAGAATTTTTTCTTCTTTCTGTTTGGACTAATGACAGCAAGTTGGAAAAAAAAGGTATATTAACATTTATTTCATTTCACTGAAACATTGACTATCTCCCAAGAAGTTATTGAATATATGATCAGTGAGTAGGCCTATGCATGTGTGTCCAATGTATATACATGTGAGTAGGCCTATACATATATGGCCAGTGAGTATACATGAATATGAAAAAAGCATAATGTTAATGGGAATTAATAGAGACGCTGATGTAACATAGGAATTCAACAAATGGATAAATGGTAACACATACAGACACGTTTATCTTTGGTTACGAATAGTGTCTAAAAGGAGGAATTCAAAGATTTTAATTAAAACTGAGATGCCTATTGAATTAAAAGCAGAATAGGGTTAGACCTTTCAGAATGATAATTTAATAATAAAGGTGAAAGCAAATATAAATATATTTAGATTTCCATAATTCTGGGACGTTAGAAATGAATAATTCTATATATTTTAGAGATAGTTTCGCCACTAGGCTCTACATCAGTATGATAGTTCACCAAGCCTGTGGCTCTTTAGCCTTTATGATGAAGTTAGACTTTTTAAGCCACAAACAATGTTTTAGACAGGATATAGTATTTGGATCCGAGCTTTTGAGAGCATTTACTAGCAAGTTTGTTCGTAATACATACTTTCACATGAATCTCAAGTGTGTTCCCTCTTTTGTTGTCATTTGTTTAACAAAGGTACTTGATATTCAAGTGCATTTGGACATTCATACATATATATACACATACATACATACATACATACATACATACATACATACATACATACATACGTACGTACGTACATACATACATACATACATACATACATACATACATACATACGTACGTACGTACGTACATACATTCATACATACATACATACATACATACATACATACATACATATTAATTTTATGAAAATAGGAAAAGTACTTATCAAACATTTTTATTGTAATGTACGTTTTTTTTTCTTCAAAGAGTTGAGGAATACTGTAGTTTTATGTTTCAGAATGATTTTCCATGTCTCGTGGAGTACTTTTAAGAATATGACATGTACATATATATTCCTGAGTGGTGAGCATGTTCTGATCTAAGATGTTTTGATGATCACCCATATATATATATGCTGCCTAAGCAATATGATAAAAAAACAAAAAAATTGTGATAACTTCATTGGATAATGAAACATTTTGGCCAAATATTCCTTGAAGTTAAGAAGGAGGAATCTTAACCTCTGTTTTCCTGTGTAAGACAAATGAAACGTCTAGACTCTCCTTCTTGACAGACCTCATAATGAATGATACGAAAAGGTAATGTCTGTTTCTAAACTAATGTCATGTGAAGAAAGGATTAAAATATTTTCTGACACGAGTAACTGATCAAAATATATTGTGCCATGGTAACAGATGATCAAAGGTATTTCCACATGACATAAGAAATGCTGATCAAAATATTTTAAGTATGATATAGAACGTCCTAAAAATATTTTCCATGTGACATATGAATAATTCATCAAAAATATTTTCCATGTAAATTAAATTGCAATAAAATTGTATTCAGTGTAAATTATATTGCAATAATACTATATTACATGTATCCTCTTTCGCAATAAGACTATGTTACATGTAAACTATATTACAATAATAATATATTACTTGTAAACTATATTGCAATAATACTATATTATGATGTTTGAACATAACTAGCTATGATTGGAAGTCTTACCTCATATTAATGGTGTCCTGTGTATAGTGTACTCCCTTCATCAGTGTTAGTTTCATAAACTATGCTGGGTTTGTATATAATGTGATGTCTCTTTATTTTTTTTGCTTTCCTCATGCCTACTTGCAGATATCTTATATTCTACAGATATCTTCATATCTTAAATATATAGGATATGAATACTGTATTCTAGTTTTAGCCAAGGAATTAACATTTACTGATTGCAGCATAGGTGCATACACACACAGAAAAAAAATCATGATTCAGTAATAAACATTTTAATATTCACTAGACTTTGGGAACTGTTCTGAAACTAGAATTTTTTGACCTGGTTAAATGCAATTAAGAGATTGTACATTAAGAAAATATTCACTTCATTAGAATTGTATTATTATTTTTTATTTGTTATCTAATCAGTCACATTATATTTTGTAATAAATGTCCTAGCTTGATTTAACACTATACCACAAATTACAAAAAATTAATTAAATAGGAAATTTTCATGATAAATGTAAATACAAATGGGTCTTTACTAAAATCAAAAAGACATATTGTCATGACAGCTAGTTGTCTTAAAGTATCTTCACATGATATTTATATCATGTTATATAATCAATGTCTTAATTATAACTCTTTTATGTGAAATCGCTTGGATTTTTTTGTATCATTTATCTCTCCAAGAATCAGATTCAAGTGTGTTGCCAATGCACCACACGAACGTCCACTTTCTTATCGTCATAGAGAATTATTTTTGTATAATGCCTTTGCAGTATATTTTTTCTTATATCAGAAAATTGTATCATAAATATTGTTTTCCATACACACACTCACTCACTCGCACCTCTCACTCCACTTACTCTATTCATGCCTCATTCACTCACATGCGCAATCTTCTCTCTCCTCTGTCTGTCTGTCTGTCTGTCTGTCTGTCTGTCTGTCTGTCTGTCTGTCTGTCTGTCTGTCTGTCTCTCTGTCTCTCTGTCTCTCTCTCTCTCTCTCTCTCTCTCTCTCTCTCTCTCTCTCTCTCTCTCTCTCTCTCTCTCTCTCTCTCTCTCTCTCTCTCTCTCTCTCTCTCTCTCTCTCTCTTTCCCTCTTCCCTCTCCCTGAAACACACACACCTATATTTGATATTATTTCATGGTAAAACAGTTCAAAAGCAAATATTTCATGTGAGCAAATAATCGTGTACACCAGTGACGGACATTTGAAGCTATTTGTTTGAAATTTATTTGTAAACAGTATTACATTTGGTTCTACATTTTGAATAAAGAATTTATTTGTGATTAATTTTGTCCGAATAAACTCATCATAATTTACAGCTAAAAAACACATTTAAAAGTAAAGATATGTTTATTTAGGTTGTACGTAGACTTTATGATAACCTAAACACTGGGATTATTGTATTCACTGAAGGTAGCTATTGTTAATCTTATGTGCTAGACAGTTATAAACAATTAAAATAAAGTTTTGTAGTCTTCAATAATAACAACTCTAGTCATTTTATTTGTTTATAATGCTGATGATCATCAGTGTCTGTCAAATCTGACTCTCGTCTTGTCTGGGATATCTTAATTGCTCCCTAAGGTAATAATTAACTGAGAATTAAACCACACACCTGAAGATGAGGAGACGTTGACGTTTCGGGCCGTCCTGGACCATTTTTATCCAGTCGATTGTGTAATAATCAATTGTTTCAGTAGGGACAACAGCAGCAACAGCAGCATGTGTTGAGACAGGAAGGCGTTCTGGGACCTGCCGGTGCCATGGAAAGCCTCTCAAACGCCACCATGCCCGGCCATAATAGAAGTTCAGAACTCAATTGTTCTCTAAGATCATCCTCACTGACACCTCCAATGTGCCTTTCTGGCCATTTACACTTAGCCATTAACAGATGGCAACGTTTTAAAACACAACATTTTTTCCCCCCATTACTGTCTAGTGACTCGTTTCACTATACACAATGGATCAAAACTTAGCTCGTAAACAAGGCGGTGACAAGGGGGCCGACTGCTAAACTCCTTAGTGCCCTCTCTGATGCCAAGTAAAGACATCAAAGCATTTTTAAAGATGATCTATATTTTAGCATTTTACCGACTCAAATTGTATGGTATTTGCCAGTGGTCCCAAGTACCAATGTGACTCTGTAAGAGTGCTGACGTTCTCTGTGGCGCCGGTACCAGAAGCAGGCTCTTCCTGGCTTTGTCATAGTTAATACTTAGACAGCGGAATCTTACCTTAGGAAGCATGAGCGAAATACTCAGAAAGAGGCTTTTCATGTACATTTCAAGCCAACGTTATGTTAATAGGCTTTTCCTGTACATTCAAAACGTATTTTATAATAATTGTTCATGTATATTGAAAGCCTATTATATGCAAAAGGCTTCTGTATATTCAAAACATTTTTAATGTAATTTGATTTCATGCACAATTAAAGCCTATTTTACGTAATATACTAATTGGCGGTTTAACCTCATTCTTCAAAGTCTTGAAGGCCACAGTTCTCGGAGATAAGAATACTGAAGCATCCCTGCGGCATATGGAACCCAATATGTCTTAGATGGTCAAGGAGTAATTCAGTGACCTCAATTTTTTTTCTAAATGCTAAATAAATTGCGATACTTATGATATGTACACTATCAAAATGTCTTATTTATGACACTTATGCAATGTTTAGCTGCAAAAATATATAATACTCTTGAGTATATATATATATATATATATATATATATATATATATATATATATATATATATATATATATATATATATATATATATATATATATATATATATATATATATATATAGAGTATATATATATATATATATATATATATATATATATATATATATATATATATATATATATATATATATATATATATATATATATAATATGTGTGTGTTGTAAATTGTATAAATCTCTCTATTTGTGCTGTACGTCAGGCATATTTTAGATATCTGTGTTGCCAAAACTTAAATATATATATATATATATATATATATATATATATATATATATATATATATATATATATATATATATATATATATATATATATGTGTGTGTGTGTGTGTGTGTGTGTGTGTGTGTGTGTGTGTGTGTGTGTGTGTGTGTGTGTGTGTGTGTGTGTGTGTGTGTGTAAATCACGAAAATTAACACGTGATGAAAAATGTGACAGTGTCAGACCACGAAAGAAGAATTGAAACAGGAATTTCCTTAAGTACTTTCGTATTACGTCTTATTCGTATTAGTACCTTAAGTCTTGTTTCTATATATATATATATATATATATATATATATATATATATATATATATATATATATATATATATATATATATATATATATATATTTTTTTTTTTGTGCTGTATGTTTGCCAAAATCACCTCCCGCAAACACATACTGTAGTGCACATGTTTTTGTTCGAGTTTTTGCTTTGTTTTTCTTCACATTTTCAGTCGTCCTACCATCTCTGTTTTCCCCAAAATGTTAGCATCACGTTGTCAAGGTGATGTTGATGTTCACTAATGCAAATCGCATCCTTATGTACATATTTGTATTATATACACACTGAAGCAAAGATGTAGAAACTCTTAATTAAATATAGTTTAGGTGATGTTGCTCGAAGTATTTACACTAGTTAATTACTGTTCCTAAATGTGAACACTAATTAATTACTGTTCTGAACTTTGAACATAAATTAATTGATGTTATGAAATTTGAACACTCATTAAAAACTGTTCTGAAATTTGAACACTAATTAATTACTGTTCACAAATTTGAACACTAGTTAATTGTTGTTCACAAAATTGAACACTAATTACTGTTCACAAATTTGAACACTAATTACTGTTCACAAATTCGAACACTAGTTAATTACTGTACATGTGCTGAAAAAGATGTAGATTGTTTTGGATCAAAAAGCATAACAACAGTACATGAATTCTTCCTGAAATGATAACTCTCCTTCACAGGGACATGTTCACTCCATACAATTTGGTGTTCACTGGAAATTATTCCATGTTCCTCAAGCTGTTGTGAACTTTACAGTCACACATTACAGTTAATACAAAACTGGGGTTCCAATTTGGACTAAAATGGCGCACTGAACTCTGCTGTGCTTTATTAGAATCAGAAATACTGTAATTTTAAATGGTGATTTATATTATTATACTTTATATCTAGCAAAGCATACAGTATATCTAGCAAAGCATACAGTATATCTAGAAACTATACATTATATAATACAAGCTATACAGTATATCTAATAAGCTGTACAGTATATCTAGTAAGCTGTACAGTATATCTAGCAAGCTATGCAGTATATCTAGCAAGCTATACAGTATATCTAGCAAGCTATAAAGTATACCCAGCATACCTGAAGTGAATCATATGTTAGCTATTGTACCGTTCCCATGCTAGGAAATGTATCGTCCCATTCAATTCCTGCCGACTGCTATCTTCTAAGGATTTCTACCATTAGACTTGGAATTGTATTCCACCCCAGGTTATAATACAATACGCTAATGTGTGTGTGAGTGTGTGTGTGTGTGTCTTTCATTCAAAAGTTTCTTTTGACTGTATTACTATTTTGCAATATGTCATTACCAGATAACAAATGATTACAACTGTTTAAACACGTAATCTAGGGCCCCTCCCTTGTTAGCACATGGTAAAAGGGCTATATACTGCTATTCCAGATGCTGAAATATTATTTGATGTTGATGCATATATATATATATATATATATATATATATATATATATATATATATATATATATATATATATATATATATATATATATATATATATATATATATATATTTAAAGTTACCCACCAACTACTTACTTTTCAGATCTGAATTTTTTTGTTTAACTTATTGATGTATAGTATAATTAGAGAAAGTTAATTAATGATCTATGTAATTAAAGGGATGTATATGCAGCTGGTGGGTAATTAATTAAACTCCTATACTGAGCTCTTCCACAACAGTTAGATTGATCTGCGTGTCGCCCTGGAAGACATGTGTTGAATAAGGCTTTCCTCATAAGTCAAAGGTAAATAATACTTAAAAAAAACTTAGGTTTTGAGATTGATGTTTATTGCAGTAAGTCGCACAAGTGTACACGAGGCTACAGAGAACAAAGACATAAACACAAAACACAACATTCCTTTTATGTTGTGTGTGTGTGTTTGTTGGGATGTCATCACGTGTCTGTCAGTGGGGGGAGGGGGGGTGTGTGTTTGCCCACAGCTTGAGGCAGAGTCACGGAGCTGTAGTCTTGGTTTCTGTCTGAATGCTGTAAGATAGCTTTCAATTGTGTTTATATATATATATATATATATATATATATATATATATATATATATATATATATATATATATATATATATATATATATATATATATATATATATATATATTTCTATCACTAAATGTGTACATGACTGAAAGATCAGGTATTTTGTAAGGGAGTGATGATTATGTAGGAATATTCACTGTATTCTCCAACTAAATTATCGGGATATTCGCTGTATTTTGAACAAGTTAGTGAAATATTTGTGGTATTTCAAAACATGCTTTCATTTCCTGGTTTTATCAGAGCGCCCATTTCAATATTGAATCTTTAATATGTTCTCTAGAAATATGAGGCTTCAGACTGTTCACTTTGATATATATATATATATATATATATATATATATATATATATATATATATATATATATATATATATATATATATATATATATATAGATAGATATTGACGCTGTCACTATCACGATGACGTCACTACTGGTAACGTTACTCATTGCGACGTCACTCATTGTGACGTCACTATCCTTGTAACATCACTACACTATCCTCAACAGTTTCTGTTTCTACCCCAGAAGTTTCTCTGTATTTAGTAGTGGTAAATTAGGCAATATTTAATTTTGATCAGGAAATTCAGTTCGGCAACGCAACAGACACTGAGAATGACTGAACCTATCTTGTCTTTAATTAATATATGGAGAGATTTGTATTGAGGCAATAAAATAGCCTAAATATAATATTTTTTTATTTCTACAGCCTTTTAAATGTATTATTAGTCATAGATTTAAAGGTATGATTAGGCAAGTGTTTTAATATATGATTAGCCAGGGGTTAGAAATATTATTTACAATGTGTTTAAAGACATGATTACTAAGGTGTTTAAAGCCAGTTTTCAGGCTTTCAAATGTTGCCACAGAAAATGAGTATTGTTTGAAAACGACTTTGGAATGCTGCCATCTGTCGGTGAGAGACGTGAGATACTTCACATTATGTTTTGCAAGCCTGAACTGCCAGCTAAGTTCACCACGATAATCTCAACATTCCATTCTTTCTTCTGATGCCTTTGTTGTCATCCGGGCAGGCGCCAGTAACCCGTTTCCCGGTGACTGGAACGGTTAAAGTAGTGGTCTTTTGTGGTGTTATCAAGACTCCTCGTGCTTTCCAAACACGTGTGTGCGCGTGTGTGTGGGTGACGGTGATGTGAGGTAAAGTACACAGTTGTGTTTGTAATCGCAGCTCGTTTCTGAACCCCATTACTTGCTCTGGCTTTACATTGCAGCCAGAGCACTCACCAACCCGTCCTCGACTCAAGTCCATTACATCCAGCGGTCGACCCCACAGACGCATTCAAAATTTTTTACATGCTGTTCATTCAAAATGGAAATTTTCTCAAATGTAAATTATTATTATAACATATTAGCATATTGTGTATATATAGGCATAGGTTTGGTTAGGTGTTTAGGTTTTGTTGGCGATTATTTGTATTTGTAGTACGTGGGTGAAGCATTTATAGCGTTGTGGTTCGAACAAAATTCGTCAGTGAACCACTTGTTCCGGAAGTGTTCGAACGAAATCAGTTGTGAGTCGTGTAAACCGTTTTTCATTCATAAACAGGTAGTTTAACGGGCGCATGGAATCAATTTTGGGTCTTTGTTTGGAGGACGGGCTGCGACTCACAACTGGCGACGTTAGAACACTTTCGGAACAAGTGCTTCACTGACGAATTTTGTTCGAACCTCAATGCTGTAAATGCTTCACCCACAAATACAAATAATTACCAACAGAACCTAAACACCTAACCTAACCTAAACTATGCCTATATATGCACAATATGCTAATACATTATAATTATATTTGAGAACATTCCCGTTTTGAATGATCATCATGTACAAATTTATGAACGCGTCTGTGGGGGTCGACCGCTGGATGTAATGGACTTGAGTCGAGGACGGGTTGCCTCTTCAACAAACGCCAAATGCTCGTTAATCCAGTCGCCAAACTCCCTGTTTATGCAACACCACCTCGGGCCAGGCTCGTTAGAGGTGCGGCCACCCCTGAAACTCGTTCGTCAATTATAAACTCGTACATCTACTGTGTAATGAAATTAGGGTTCTCACGTATAAATGAACATTCTGTAATGAAATTCAATGCTAGGTTAGGTTCTGTTGGCGACTGGGTTGTAGTACGTGGGTGAAGCATTTACACACTTGCGATTCGAGCAGAGGACGTCACCGAAGCACTGCTCGAGAAAGGTACATACGTCATCCAGTCCATCCTAAGGTTTACCAACGTCAAGAAACTGTCGTACTAAAATGTCTTTATCCTAACCTACAATAGGACGCGAAATAGAAAACTGGACAGTATGTCAATTTCGCCGCTACCATTTTCAAGTACA